TGAGCGCCATCTTAAAAGACATGCCGTACACTATATCACCTGTCCATAGAACGTTCCATCTACTGGCGGAGCGCAAAATTCGTCCACGGGCTTTTACCAAGAGTCGCGCCCTTGTCTACATTCGGCGGCAGAGAGCTACGCGAGACCGCGATAAAGAGCACGAATCTCGAATGGAAGTGGGAGGACCCATCTCCTCGTCTTGTTCGTCGCGTACCGATACCCATCCTCTATAGAAAGGAACGTTATTTTATACCCCCGGGCTCCAGGTGGCTATTCCAGTGTGGACACAAAAGTTCTAATGACCAGACGAGATGGTTGAGTGTCTATGATCTCATTACGGAGACCGTTGTTGGATCGTGGTGTCTTGAAGTCACAGAGGGCTATCCTATCTTCTCAGGAGAATCAGTAGAGCCAAACTTGGTCATCTTTACGATGTATTTTCACGAGTATGTACATTCGTGCTTAGACGCCTATCTTTCCAGGAGGATATTGATATTTTGCCAAGGTCTTCCAAGGTCGGACTGTACACCGCACAGTTTACACAGACTCAAAGTGGAGAGATTTCAGTGAAGTTTGAAAAAACAGACGAGATCATTTTCAAACAAGTAGTGAGGTTCTGTACCCTGGAGGAAGGCGTCATTGCGGCAGGTAACCCCTTTGAAGTGCTAGTCCAGCGATGGGATATAGCCAATTCTCGAAGATATCTCAACTCTGGTGCCGAATGGCTACAAGCAGGTGTCCAGATAGCAAAAGATCGTCTGATCACACTGGAAGTTACCGGCGTACAAGACGACAATAGGATGTGGCGAATCAACGTCTTTGACATATCTTCGGTCCGAAATGCCAAAGCAGACCAGGTGATAGAGAATCAACCTTTGGACAGTATCGTCAGTGCAAGTCTACCTAATGCGCCTTGCGCCCCATTCTATGCACCTTATTGGGAGGATAGAGTCGACCAAGCTGGAATTCATTTCGGTTTCAAGATAATGTTACGCATGCATACTTCGATCGGGGAACGTTTGTGGCATTGTGACTTTCGTCTCGACAGTCAACTCGTTGGGGATGAAATGCAAGAGGTCTTGACGGTAGAAGAGCCGAACATAATTGGAGAAGAAGCTGACCAACGACCTACTCAATTTACGAATGGCTATGTGCTTGGTCCAAAGGCGAGCCGGATTGTATGGACTGGTCAGGACGGACTCGTTAGAATTCGATCAGAGTGGACAGAGGAGACCCCATGGTCATTGTTATTGTTGTAATC